TGTATTTTTAATAGAGACGGGGTTTCACCATTTTGGCCAGGCTGGTCTCAAACTCCTGACCTCAGGTGATCTGCCCACCTTGGCCTCCTAAAGTGCTGGGATTACTCGTGAGACACCACGCCAAGCCAAGTCTTGATTTCTACAAGGCAATGCAGAGTAGGCTAGGACACCTGCATAAGTAGTACTCAAAAGATCATTATTACTTGTTTTCTTTTTACCTTAGGATCAAATATACCAAAGCACGCTGCTGTTATTGATCCTATCCTTATTTACAGTGTTGACATTGTGTTCATCATGGGCGTAGCATTATTTTTGATTTTTTTAAATATTGCATTATTGTCCTGATTAATGCATTTTGGATGCCTCCTTAAATCTGTATCTCAGGCTAGTGCCTTACTTGCTTCACACTAGCACCACCTCTGCCTTTCACCTAATAGGTAGGATGGTAATTTATATGTCTATCACCAACAAGGCATAAAACATTGAGTTCCTCCCCTCTCTGAAGTTCCTCAGCATACTTAGTCTGGTGTGTATGAACTTCACCCACCCTTCAGGATGGGGAAATTTTAATCTAGCCTTAAGTAATATTTTCCTTAAAACAGCTGAAATTAGGATAGAGAGAGAGGGGGGAGTAGGGCAGCACAGTGAGAGAGCAACTCCTTGCCAATAGAGAAGACACATTTATTTTCAGTTTAAGCACTCAGCAGCTACCTATGATTCAACCATATTGAAGGTCCAATATTTTTGTGCACTCAAAAGACTAAATTATGAAATAAGATCATCATTACTGTCACCATGTGCTTCAACATTGGTGACCCATTGATGAAGAAGCCAGGGCCTACAGCTTTTTGGCTGGAACTTGTGGCTTGTGCACGTAATTAATTTGGCCTTGACTCACACAGCAAGTGTGACTTGCTTCTTTTTGATATGAAATTAACAGGGCATTTACGCTGTCATCATGATAATATCTCTTAGGGTCTTGCCTTGTTTTAACATAAGGGCTGTCACTGATGGCAGGAATTTGTCTAGATATTTTTGCATCCCTTACTCATTCTTTGTCAGCATTGCAAGCCAATCCAGGTGAGTAAGCGCCCAAATACAAGTCAGTGCCTCTCACCTACAGTTTCCCAGGGAGCTAAGTTTCACTGAAAAACAAAAAACAGAACAAACAAACCATAAAAAAAAAAAAAAAAAAAAAAAAAAAAAAACCTCTGAATCCTTTGACTGTCATCTTGGAATGGATCTAAGTTTGGAATAAAGGACTACAGCCGGGATGGATCCTTCAATGGCACAGCTGTTGCCATTCTTCCTTAACAAGCGTATGTGCCCTGATGCCTCAACCTCCCAAGAAAACCAGTGAAAGTTCGAATGATGCATCTGGCTTCTACCTTATCTGAAAAGTCTCTCACTATGCTCAGTGTAGGTACATGTCTCTGCAATTTTTATGTAAAAGAGAGTGGAATTTTCTGCCTACCCAGGACAAATGTTAGTACTAGTTATTAGAATCAGGTGGACCTGAATCCAACTGGGGAGGAAATTCACCCCACTCTACCCTCCAGAGAAGAGTTAACAGCCAGAGCATCAGTCTAGTAGCTGTGTTCAAACCTACTTCCTGTTACTCAACCTTCGACCACATCCCCAAATCCTCCTCCTTAGCAGGCAATAAAGTAGAACACTATTTATTCCTGATTAACAATACAATTTAGTCAACATGTTTGCTACTGATTCCCACCACCTTCCCTCAAATCCTGTTTATCAGCCATTGAGGTCCTCATACTTTCTGAAAAAGCCACGTGTCTGTTGGCATTCCATCCTCATTGCCAAAACTGTCAAAGATTGTGAGATTTTACTGTACTTACAAGGTAACAAGTTAGCCTACCGCAGTTTTACTAATGCTAACCTAAAGGACTCACAGCAATAGCAGTAGCCAGAGTGTCAGTGTTTGCACAGGTTTCCTGAGTGCCACATCTCACAGGGCTACACAAAGTAGTCCAGGTGACCCCTGTACTCTCAGTGGTTACATCATAGGAGAGGAACTCTGAGACTAGGGGACCTGAATCTTTTATAATGAACAGTATGCTACCCTTTGTTCTAGAGGTAGGCACTGTCTCTATCTTCTAAAGCTCTTTGCTACACAAAATTGTTGAAAAGACATTCTGGAACAAAGGCAGTCAGAGCCTTGCTCACAAAATAACATGGGAGGTTCATGCAGAATAATTTTCCAATAGAATTTGCCATTGGACTGGATGTGTGGGTGTGAGAGCAATAGTAAAATCAAGGATGGTCTCTGGCTTTCGTACTGGGTGGCATTTGGTGTGACTTACTCAAACAGGGATACCTGGTGAAAGGGACCAAATTTTGATTACATTATTATGCTATGCCTATTTCATTACCAAAAGGATATGTCATGGTGGCAGTTGGATATTTAACTCTAGAAGCTCAAAGTATATAGGTAAAAACCAGTAATAAGTATTTGGACATCATCAACATTTAATCCATGAAACTCAATGGGATGGTGAAGAAAGAGAATCCAAACCTGAGCTCTGAGGAACTCCAGCACCTAAGGTTAAGGTAGAATAGATAACTAAGACAAAGAACAACCACTGAGGAAAAGATGTATCCAAGAAGCCAAAAGGAAGGAAGTGATTAACTGTGTCAAGCATTGCTACAAGTTCGACAAAGATGAAATCAACATCATGAGCTGGTAGTATACAGTCAACACAGAATTACAGATAAAAACAGACTTTTAATAGTGTGACTTACTGAAGGAACTGGATAGCTGAAACTGTGAGATCGATATTTGAGATTTACAATAAATAAAAAGTGTTTCAAATTTATAGCAAGTATACTGAATAAACATGGTGCACAAACTATGGTAAAAATGCAACTTTAGTGCTCCTTCCGTTATCTTTTCAGTATTTAGTAAGGATAACCATCCCCAACCCTGGGATGGAAATTCCTATGGACATACTCAAATACCAAATATTCACCACATGTGAGGCTCCATTCTGGTGCTCTGAATAGCACAATGAGAAAAAACATTCATGACCCTGGCTAGATGACATTATGATCTCTAAGTCCACTTAGAGATCAAAATGACTAGAGGTTGTTTTCATTTTTCATGTGATCTTCAAAAGTTACTCTGTGGCCTTTTTTCCCTGCAGGACCTTGAGTGAGTTGGCTGGCAGTTCTCTATTATGATTTGTCTCTGGTGGCTCCATGCTCATTCCCAGGGCATCCCGCTATCCCACCCCCAGCCTCTTTCTGTGAAGGTCTCCAGGCAACTTTACATAGGCCCAAGACCATGCAATATGGCTCTTGTGTGGCCCATCTTGTCCATCCATACCATTCACATAACCTTTTCTTTAATAAATTCTCAGAACAAAGGACTACCTCAAGACAGTAGCAAGTTTTGTGCAATGTCACTAGAGCAGCTAGCCTTTTCCCACCTTCTAGATTTCCAAGGCAGAAATCAGGCCCCAATCCAGGGCATCGTCTTCCTGCAGAAACACCTGACTTTTTGTAAGTGGCCACATTGAAGCACTCCTTGCTAGGCTTTCACTGAGGAGACAAAAATCACAGTACATCTTTTCCCAAGATCCCCTCCTCCTAAATGCCTCTCCTTACCAATTCTTGTAATGTCTTAAAGTGTATGAGTAGATTCAAGAGTTAGAGAAATGCTTTCAGAAAAGGTTCCCTGGAAATTTCACACATTTGGTTTTGTCTCTCCCTCCCGTGATCTCTGATAAATAGTGGCTTCACACTGGCTTCAGAGTCAGAGTCAGGGACTGAGACAGAAAGAGGACAATTCTAACATCATATTTCCTGTATATGTAGAAAACAAATTATTTGAGATTTATGAAGGCTTTTGTATCATAGAATCAGATAGCAGCCTGTTTTCTGAGAAGTTGACAAGAATGTAGCCTGCAATTGGGGGCCCCGAGTTGGACAGCACCAGACTAGTTAAGGGAGACAAGAACCTTAAAATGATGAGGATGGATTATGCGTTCAGCATTTAAAGTAAATAAAGGTCTAAAGAATTACGCCACAGAGTAGCCTAAAATTTTTACAAAAATCAAAAACAAAAGGAGGCCTTCTAAAATGATGTGGCTTCTCCAGTTATGTGTTCAGTCTTCAGCTCTCCTTGATTAGACAGGAAGGTCAGACACTTTACGGAAATGTTTTATAGATGCCTGAAGTCATTTAGGGCATTTGAAATTATGCTACTTTGTAACAGCATGTGCCTAAGGCAAAAGGAAAAATAATCTAAATTTACTCTAGGATGAGAATGAGAAGACATGATAAACCCTGGTTCTGGAGAACTTTGAGGGGAAACAAAGAGGGAGAAGTCAAAATTATCTGCAGAGAATGGGTGTATGGAAGCCTAGAGAACATGAAGATTGAACAGTGACTACCTGATGCATCAAAATTCCAGAGAGATGCCAACAAAATAAGCAAAAGCAAAGGTACCACAGAAGAAAGCTAATAGAGTTCCCCAATGAAGAACAGGGAAACCAGTAGTGACAGGCAGAGCTTCCAGCAAGCAAGAGAGATAGAAAAATGTAAAAAAAAAAAAAAAAAAAAACAAATTTTTTTATAATATAGTGAACCTTAAACAAGTCAAGTTCATAGACTTAAATCATCAGCAATCTGGCCGCTTCATCATTGAATATGTTTTACTATTTAAGATTCCAACTTCTGTGGTTTTGCAGAAATATCTTTATAAAAATATAAAGAAAACAAACAAGAAAATCCATGCGAAGTCTTGGCAAGCATTCAGAAGTGCCCCACGCAAATGGTGTTTGCTTATAAATCCTAAGCAATATTTCCAAGACTACCCCAAACACAGAAGATCCAAAAAAATACTGTATTTGGCTATAATAAGAACAAAGCTATCGATTATTTTGGATTTTCATTTTGATCTTATTTCAGCACTCTCTTTAGTTGGCCATTTGACTGAATGTACAGCCAGACACTTACTAGCCAACCTTCTCTTGTAGGTGCAGACAACAACCATGTGCATCTCTGTCAGCCTGAGTGGCTTTGTGGTCTTGGGATGTTTGTTTGCACCCAAGGTTCACATCGTCCTGTTCCAACCCCAGAAGAACGTTGTCACACACAGACTGCACCTCAACAGGTTCAGTGTCAGTGGAACTGGGACCACATATTCTCAGTGTAAGTATGGAACTCAGCACTAACTCCTTCACACGTAGCATTGTAGTCAGGATCAGTCTGCCAAGAATAGGCAACACATGTATGTCCCCATGAACAATCTCAAGTCGGTCTTTCTAAGTATGGATTTAAACACTATGCATCAGGTACTGTGCTAGGTGCTGGGGATACAGTAAGGAGCAAACAAGTCAACGTTTCTGTTTGGGCAGTACATTCAGTCTAGCAGGGAAGAAAGACATTAAACCCATAGCTGCAATTAGGGGTTTGACCATGTTGTGGAGTTAGATAACCTGGTCTCTAGTCCTGTTCTGTAATCAATTTAATAGATAATTTTGAACAAGTCACTCTATTGCTTTCTGCCTCATTTTACTAATTAAACTAGGGGACTGGACTAGATTAGTGTTTTATAAAGTATATTCCATGTCACACAGATGCCAGAGGGTCTTCATGAAGAATTAAAAAGGGAAGATAATAAAAAACAATGAAAAATACTATGTTCTTAATACCTCCTTGAAAGTTAACAGCATTTCCTTTAACATGCATGTGTTATACATGTTTCTACAGCAAGAAAGCATGTTTAATTTTGTTAAGAATTAACAAAGGTAAAATACTTTTAAAAGTATTTTATCACAGTAAAACTAACGTCCTGTGGAACACACCTTGGAAAATGCTGGAATAGACCTTCCTCCTACTTCAGTGACACAATGTTTTTGCAGCTGAGAAGGCAGTGTGAACTGAAGGATATTAGGATAGTTCCCAGTCCCACATTCTCTCTGCTACTGGCCTGCAAATATCTGAAACACCATCCTTAGAGAATCACTGATTTAATTCTTTAGAGTTCTCTAAAGCACAAATGTACCTGAAGGGGACAACTTTTTAAACCGTTTTCAGCTAACTTGCGGCATGAAGTAGAAGCAATTCACTGACATGGGATGAGGAGGAAGAAAAGAACTGAAGCCATGAGAGGGAGAGGGAGGACAGAAAGTGACAGAGACAAATGACTGCTTCACAATTTTGCCTTGAGTAGATTACAAAGGATACTTCAAAATAGCTCAGCATCACAGGGTGAGCAATCACATTAGTGCCCCAATTTCTCCACCAAAGTACAGAATTTAAAAGGGCAGCCCTTACCCAGAAAACAGAGGGAAGACTGACAGACTGAGAGCATGTGTTCAGGGATAGGCTGCACGTTCCTGTCATTCCAGCAGAACTCCAAGGTGTCACAAAATTTGAGCTTCAGGGTATGGCAAAGCCTGTGAGGTTGTTTTCCTTGGATCTTAAAGAAATATATTTATTCCTTGAGCAAACAAAGCTCTTCTTTAGCAGACTAATCTCAACAGCTACCTAATCCAGACCAGAGAGAATTGTCAATAACAAATACAAATAACAACAGCAGATAACAGGAATTTTCATTTGTTGAGTGTTTTTCATATGCTGGGAATGGTGCTAAATACTTTACACACATGTGTGCATGTGTGTGCTGTCTTAATCAATACTCCAACCTTTTAAGGTAAAGAAACTCACCCAGGGTCACACGCTTTAAAAATGGCAGAACCAGAATTTAGAGCCAGTTCCAGTGATTTCAAAGCCAGTGCACTTAACCACTGTATCATGCAGCCTCTCCCAGAGAGCAAGCTGGGAAAGTTCTCATAATGCTAGGTCGTTGGCAGGGTTTTCAGGGAGAATAAAAAAAAAGGTTATCCCAGCAAAATTGTCCTATGGCTAGCTCAGAACTTTTGGTTGTTATTAGAACAATTTAGCAGAGTCCCTAAGTCTTCTGCAGACGTTATTCAAAATCGCATATATCCAGACCTCAGTAATTTAGAAATAGCAGAATTTTCTAATACAGATGCTGGAAATTAATAAATTCTAGAAGGGATAACAAGGGCACTTTCTTCAACCAAGTCTCTTGTTAGAAATTCAGAAATATCCATTTACATAAAAACAATGTACTGCAACCACAGCAGACCTGTTAAACTATTACTCAGTATGCTAATCTGATAGTAACCCAATTAGTACTTCAAGACAGGTGTTTGAACATTTTTGGAATGTTTTGTTACCTGATAAATTTTTAAATAAACTTTTTTTAAATGTCTAAATTCAGACCTCATTGTTTCAGCAATATTTCCCTAACTAATCAAAATCAGTGAGGTGGTATCATGTGACAAAGTGAAGATTTTATATAACATCTTCTGGCATTTTAGAGGGCATAAGTAACAAATACATTCACCTGTTATTTGCATTTTTACATCTTTTATTCAAAGTAGTTGTATATTCATGAATTCATTTTGTCCTCATGAGTATCAGATATCACAAGTTCTATTTTATAGGTAAGAAAATTGAGAACTGGAGTTACTCCTCAAGGATATACAGTGATTCAAGAGTCAAGAATTGACCCTGGATTTCCTGACTTTCAATTAAAATCCTTCTCATTTTCATAAATTGGAAATATTTAATATCAAGAAAGGTATTCATTAAATTCTTGAGTACCTACTACACACCAAAAATTTCTAAGCACTGTGTACACAGTAATGAATAGGACAGAGTCCCTGGCCCCATGAATGTTGGTGTCTAGGACAGTGATTTTCATGCTGTAGATTATAAGCCATTACTGGGTCATGAAATTTAGTATCTTTAGCCAGTGTCTTTTAAAATAAAATAATAGAAAATCTTAGAGTGCATTACATGTAGTAAAGGTAAGGCAAGAAAGGTAAGTCATGAGAAGATATATGTATATGTGTACCAGGTCCAGGTAAAATGTATTTACTTATTTGAATCACAATCAAAGATGTTTAAAGGCCAGTGGTCTATCCAGAATTTAGTTCTGTGCATGAACATGTTGCTAACCCACTTTGCTAAGAATTGAAGCAATTCATTTAATATCTTAGTGTCTGTTTCCTCTATTATATATTCAGTTCAATTTATATTCATTTCCCTCTTAAATACTAGGAAATATGTCACTTTATAAATCAAAAACATTCCTTAAACTGCTCTGAGCTCATTAGATGAAGCATGTGTTTTACTTGGGTTGTACAATTTATGTTCTTCCAGTGAAAATGTTATAACTTTATTTCATTGGGTAACCATTACCCATATTGCTGCTCGTTTTTTACTTTCTTTTCAGAGGTAAAAACAAAACCCAATGTAGAGATGAGAGTAAGCTAATATGAAAATATGCTTATCTCATTTCCTCCACTTTATTCCTGCATAACAAACTTCTCCATAACTTAAAGTCTTAAAACAATACCTCTTTTTCTTATTATCTCTCACAGTTTACAAGTCAGGAATTCAGATAAGGCTTTGTTCATCTGCTTCATGAGGCTGAGTTTCTTTCATGATTTTAAGCAGAGACTGAGCTGATCTGGAAGATCGATGATGGTTTCACTCGTTTCTGGCATCTTGGCAGGAAGCCTATCCATACTGGCTCCTAAAGAGCATGTTCCATAAAAAAGGAAATAGAAACTGGCTTGGCCAGGAAACTGGTACAGCATAACTGGTACCATGCTTATTTATCAAAGCTCAGGTTCAAGGGAAGGTACACAGACCCCACCTCACAAAGAATCTGTCACCATTTTAATTATGCCACACTTTCCAAATCCCAGATTAATCCAGTACTGCATCTTACCAAGAATTACATTGACGACACAATCCTGTATGATAACAAGAAGTTACCCCAACTGGAAAGTACAGCCATATCAATTCTAAGTTAATTCTCTGGCAAGAGAGTAGGGGAAATATCACATTACTTTGGAGCCTAGAAGGGTCTCCTGATGGCAGCCAAGGTGGTTGATAGCAGAAAGAGTAATTTTTAAAGCTGAGCAATTGCTCTAAAAAACTGGAAAAGCATAACCAAACTCAGAAGCAGCCATGAAAGAATGAACATGGTTAAAAACATCTTGGAAAACTGAAATGTTTTACACATTGCTATGTGCAAAAGAGTACAATTAAAGTTGTACCTGATTAACTATATACAGTAGAAGAATAATAAAAACAAATGAAACCTTAATGTTTCTCCATTAAGAATACCCAAGGATCAACGGTTCTCAGATATTTGTATATGAAAAATAACTTCTTTGAAATGGAGATGCCCTGGTCCCACCCATAGATATTCTGATTCATGTGGTCTGGAGCAAAGGCCAAAAATCTGGTTTATAACAGATACCCCAGATGTTTCAATAGAAGTGGTCCAAGGAAAATATTTTGAGGACCTCTACCCAAACCATCCTTATCTACTTCATCCACTGAAATCAGTGCAGTCAGTGCAGGGAGGTTCTCTAGACCATCAAAGAGGAATCAGGGTTTCAGAGAGGGAGTGGGATTCTGAATTTCCACCCTTTGCTTCATAACACCAATGGCTACATCCTCATGCAGTGATTTCCCAGGCTCCCTCTGGAAATTTCAGGGAAGGCATTTCCAGCATAGAAGAACCTGGACACTCAGAAAATATTACTACAAGTGAGTATGCTTCTTCAAATGACAGCACAACTGAGAGACCTTGAAATCCTAAACTCATACTTTTAATTCTACTCCCACACCCACACACATAAGCAAACATTCTTTGCATCTGGATGAAAAAGAGGTCATTTTTATTCTCTCCTGCTCTAGAAGAAAAAGGGTTTCCCAGAGCTTGTCCCTAAGGACAGGCAATCAAGAACATATGTTGGGAATATAAGTAGAACTGCATAACATTTTAAGAGACGGCTGGAAGTACATATGAAGTTACATAGCATAAAACCCCATAGCAGTCATGCAGGTCAGGAGGTTGGCACTAATATGATTTTGTATCAGCATAGACTGGGGAAGAGAGAGAGATGAAAAATGATGTGTGCTCATGGTCTTCAGAACTATTATGTACCCAGACTTGGTCCTATAAGGATATTTGTCTCTTGCTCATGGTAACCATTCAGATGTATGTATGTCATTATCATGAATATCAGCCAAGAAACTACTACTACCTAGTGATGATTTTGGTCCCCAAGGAGCTGTAAGCATATGGAAATTGA